CAGCCGCCCGACCTCGTTGTTGTGGAGCATCACGATGGAGCGGATGTCCTGGCTGCCGGGCCCCCGCAGGTACCGCCAGTCCATGAAGTCCCTGGCGATCCTGTAGCCGAATCCCACGTTGTCGTCGCAGCCGCTCCACTTCCACTCCCCCTCCGGCGGCGTCCCGGTCCCTGGCGCTGCCTCGCCCACCGGAGGCTCCCCCTCCGTCGCCCCCGAGGCCTCGCCGCCGCCCCTGCCGTCGGGGTCGACGACGGAGGTGTTGATGGCGTTCTCGGATCCCTCGCGGCGGCGCCCTCTGCCGGGTCCTCGCCGCGCCCTGTCGCCGCGCTTGCCCTTCCCGCGTCGGCCTCGCCGGCGGTCCCCTCGCGGCCGGTCCTTGCGCCTCCTCGAGGGGTCTTTTCTCCTGTCGGGCTTCCTGCGCCGCTCCGCCTTCGTCGCCTTCTTCTTCTCTTGAATGGGATCAGACGCGTTAGGGGCCGGATTAGTCTGCGGAGTTACTTGTATACACACGTTTAAATTAACGTAATAAATCATGTGTGTATGCGTGTGTGTTTGTGTGTGTGTAAGTAAGTATATCTGTTTGAAATTACAATTTCATATCTACCTTCTATGCTTCCTTATCAAAAGGAATCTCCTAAAACACCCTTCCCACGCCCACAGAACACCCGCAGAGAGGAAGGAACCCGCCCACAGAGCAGAAACACCCCAAAAGGACACGTCACCACCACATACCATTCGAGTCCTGGCTGCTGGAGGCGTCTGCGTTGTCCCTGCTGCAGGAGCACTGGAGGAGGTCGCCCCTCGAGCAGGCCGCGGTCACCTCGTGGGTCACGCCCGCGGACATGACGGCGTTCAGGAAGGCCGTCTCGGGCGTGTCTGGGGGGGGGGGGGTGAGACACAAGTAGTGAGTCTCTTTACTGTTCATTTTTTTTTTTTCTCTGTTTGTGTCTTATCTCTGTTTTTTGTATTTTTTTGCTCTCTTCTCTTCTCTCTCTCTCTCTCTCTCTCTCTCTCTCTCTCTTCTCTCTCCTCTCTCTCTCTCTCTCTCTCTCTCTCTCCTCTCTCTCTCTCTCTCTCTCTCTCTCTCTCTCTCTCTCACTTTCTCTCTCTCTCTCTCTCTCTCTCTCTCTCTCTTCTCTCTCTCTGTCTCTCTCTCTCTCTCTTCTCTCTCTCTCTCTCTCTCTCTCTCTCTCTCTCTTCTCTCTCTCTCTCTCTCTCCAGATGGAAGACACAGACAAAAACACAAAAAAGAGATTTAGACGTGCGAATAAATCATCAGAGTAGATCATTATTTACATATATATATTATATATATATATTATATATATATACTATATATATATATATATATATATATATATATTACACACACACACACACACCACACACACACACACACACACACACACAACACACACACACACACATATATATATATATATATATATATATATATATATATATAGATATATATATAGAGAGAGAGAGATGATACAACAAAGAGAGAAGAGAGAGAGAGAGAGAGAGAGAGAGAGACGCAGATAACAGCAATACAACAACAACGTTAATCCCAAGAAACACAACAAGCAAACGAGAGCAACTCTGCATAAGGAACAAGGCGTGGCTCACCCCTCATAAGTATCTTCTTGAGCGCCCTCCTGTTGTCGGTGCAGTTCCACCTGTGGAAGCGGAACTGGTACTGGCACTCCTTCATGGCCATCTGGGACCCGTCGAGAATCATCTGGAACGTCCTGGGCTCCTTCCGGCAGATGGTGCTCTGGGGGTCTTTGGAGCTACGGGTGCCTGTCTTGCGGCAGATTCTCGTGTGGTCCATAACGGCCCGGGTTCCTAGGGACCTGGAAAGGGAGGGGGAGAAGGAGGTCAGGGTGCGAGGAAGGTCGTCTGTGCTCGTGGATGTGTGTGTGTGTGTGTGTGTGTGTGTGTGTGTGTGTGTGTGTGTGTGTGTGTGTGTGTGTGTGTGTGTGTGTGTGTGTGTGTGTGTGTGTGTTGTGTGTGTGGTGTTGTGTGTGTGTGTGTGTGTGTGTGCGTGGTGTGTGTGTTTTTATACAATCCAATACCGTATAACTGTAACGAATTCATTGGTTCAAAAATCAAAAGCATCAAAATATATTTCCAGCCATATTACAATGTCTGAATGCTCCGAAATAGGTCGTTAATCAGTCTACCACAGACATGACAGATTTCACCAAAGTTCCCACACACTAATACGCTCTGAACTGTGGCTCTCTGGCATCAGATTAATATTCATTGCCACACTTAATTTCGTTAACCAATAACATAAATCTTTTCAGGCTGACATATGAACTTCCATATGATTAATAACGAAAGGAAGAATAAGATATGTGCCTATTCGTGTGCTTTCTTGTACCTCCCTTCGTTGTTCCTGTTGCAGGTTGTTCGACATGAATTCCACACAGATCAAGATCCTCCCTGCAAACCCTCTTGAAAAGCGATGATAAGATTAAGAGAAGAAAATAGGATAAAGAAATGAAAATTACTGTGAATTCGATGTACGTAATCATTTAACTGGAACAGCTCAACGGCAGTTATTTGAGCGAGTGGGGTTTGACCCTTGACCTACCCCTTCCCCCTCTTGCTCTCTTGCTTTTTTCTTTTTTTTCTATTTCTATTCTTCTACGAAACATCGCTCTCGCCCTTTTCCCCGTTCGCGCAAGTGTGCCACGACCTTTTAAACTTTTTTGGCTTCTTTGTTTTTCTTGGCGAATCTAATCCCAAGTCTGACATTTGTTCTTTCGTTTATGAATCTACGACATTGGTTCAGATCCCTTAGGCTGCGGTGCTGTCAGTCTTTTGTTTATCTCCGCTGCCTTGTATTTCACATTTACGTTGGTAATGGCGTGTTTATAGTCATTGCTTGATTTAGCGGAGATAAAAAAATTATCAAGCAGTTTTGTTCTGCTTTGTGGGGAGAAAAAAAATGTTATGATGATGATAACGATGGTGGTTTTGATAACGGCAATGACCATAAATAAAGAAATTGATGAGGAAGAATGAGAAAAATAGGACATGAGTTCTTCGAAGATGTACGTGTTTGTGAAGGTCTGGGAAAGAACAGCAGCTGTATGATGACAATGTGATGACAAGAACATCGATACGAACAGTTATGAACAGTTATGACATGCGTCTAATGGAGGCTAAACACACCATGTCCATAACAACAACGAAGAAAAACAAGTAACACGAAAAAGTAGATAAAACATCCTTTTTTTATACATAAAATTCGCTCCATAAAAGGCATATAACCAAAGTCAAATCCCTTCTCGGTAAAAAAAAAAGAAAATGATTAAAGATCACTGACACATTTCCCATCACTTTGATTGACAGGTTCACATCATTATGTTTACCGAAGACTTCTTTTGAAAGTGATAGCCGGCCTCTGGCGTTGTCTAGCCGCGTCGCCTCTCACAGCCTCCACTTGTGCTACATGAAGATCTGTTTGTAGACACGTAGAGCTATTTTTTCCACTCTTGTCGAATTTGACGGACATTTACAGCTTTCGAGATACCTTAGGTGTTCTTATGTTTCGTTAATGGTTCGCGGAGTATCAAATTCTATCGTTTTATTGCTATCTGTTTTCGTTTTCGTTTTCGTTTTTTTTTTCATGCAGCTCCTTTCGGGAAAAAGGGAAGTTTTCTTCAAGATTTATCGGTATTTAAAGCCCTGTTGTATCTAAAGGAAAGCAGTCAGTGCATGGAAGGCGTTTTGTCTATTATTATATTTTTCTTGAACATTATTATCCATTTTTTTAGGAGTCGTTTTTTTTCTTCCTATTTTCTACCTTTTAAAGGAGTCATGGAGTTAGAAATGAAGGAATTAGGAGGAAAAAAAACTGTATTTGAAAGAATACATTCGAGATTTAAAAATAGTGTGTGCAACGCAAAGAGAAAGGTGAGGTTTAGCCAAGAAGGATTTAAGGGTTAAGGGTTGATGGACAGGGATGTCAGTAAGTGTGAGACGAGTAAGGAACAAGTTAGAGGATGTGAGAGTCGAGGAAAAGGTGTGTTGTGAGGAGGGAGGGGGTTAGGGGGGGCATAGATCACCCTGCCGTGTTGATCTTGCCCCAGCAACCCCCCTGACAAGTATGAAGACGAAAGGGGTGTCCCGGGGTTAGATAAAATACACAAAGGTAGTGTGAAGATGAGAGAGAGGGCAGCCTACGAGAAGAAAAGGGGGGTAGAGGGTAGAGAGGAGGGTAGGGGGTTAGGAGAAGGTGGCAGGGTTAGGGGTTAGATAGAAGAAAGGAGGGGGGGGGGCTCCGGAGAGGGCCAGGAAGGGAAGAGGAAGAGAAAGGGGGGGAAGGAAGAGAGGAGAAGGGAGAGCAAGAGAGCATGGTCTGCCCAATTCATCTGTTGATACAAGACGGCCATTCTCGGGGACGACGCTATCATAAAAGCCAGACTAAATAAACACCGTGGGATTGGTCCCTCACTCACCTCAATGGATGAGTCAAACGGCGTTTTGGTACCCGCCCCTTTCGCCTCCGCCTCGAGAAAGCTCTGGCCTGTCCGGAAGGCAGTTTTATGTTGTTTATATCCAGTTTCAAAGCTAAGGGACTCCCCATGAGACAGAAGTCCCTGTGTTGTCGCCTCTTTTGGCTAATGACGACCAGAGGACTCGCGTAGGAGGACCTGCTGCCGCTCCGGTCCATATGGAGAAGGCTGTGTATATCGTAATTTCCAAGAAAAGATTTTCATGTTTGTTAAACAAGGAGGAAACTTATGGGGCTGACTACAGAGGAGCAATTCTCGATGCGAGTCGACACGATCGTCTATTAAGTGCAAAGAAAATTCGGTAATACAGAAAATTGGAGGAGAGAGAGAGAGAGAGAGAGGGAGAGGGAGGGAGGGAGGGAGAGGAGAGAGGAGAGAGAGAGAGAGAGAGAGAGAGAGAGAGAGAGGGAGAGAGAGAGAGAGAGAGAGAGAGAGAGAGGAGAGAGAGAGAGAGAGAGAGAGAGAGAGAGAGAGAGAGAGAGAGAGAGAGAGAGAGAGAGAGAGAGAAGAGAGAGAGAGAGAGAGAGAGAGAGAGAGAGAGAGAGAGAGAGAGAGAGAGAGAGAGAGAGAGAAAGGCAGAGAGAGAGAACAATATCAATACCTCAATACATATAATCTAAAAAAAAAAAAAAAGTATATATAATCCCCCCCCAAAAAAAAAAAAATACATCTCCACAATTTTCAGAAGCTTTCCTTCCCTAAATACCAGCACCAACACGCCCCCGCGCCCTCGCCCGCCCACCTCACCCCACATCCAACAAACGCCCACGTAATAAAAAGAGACACAGCTCCGCCCCACGACCCTGCTGGTTTTCCAAAAGGTTTGTTTGTAATTCGTTTATGACGGAGGAACAGCCCTTACGACCTTTGAAACTTCTGTGGTGGAAACAACACATCGCGTCTCTGTTTTCTTGAGGGGGAGGGGAAGGGGGGAGGAGAGGGGAAAGAGGAGGGGAGGAGAGGGAAAGGAGAGAAAGAGGGAAGAGAAGAGAGGGAAAGAGGGAGAGGAGAGAGGAGGAAGGGGAAAGAGAGAAAGAGGGGAGAGGAGAGGGAAAGGGAAGAGAAAGAGGGGAGAGGAGAAAGGGAAGAGAAAGAGGGGAGAGGAGAGGGAAATGGAAAGAAAGAGGGGAGAGGGAAGAGGGGAGAGGAGAGAGGTAGAAAGAAGGGGGAAGGGAAGAGAAAGAAGGAAGGGAGAGGTAGAGAGGAAGGGGAGAGGAGAGGGAAAGGGAAGAGAAAGAGGGGAGAGGAGAGAGGTAGAAAGGAAGGGGAAATGGAAAAGAAAGAGAGGGGAGAGGAGAGAGGTAGAAAGGAAGGGAAAAAAGAAAAGAAAGAGCAAAAGGGATGGAAAAGAAGAGGAGGGGAAAGAGGAAAGAAGAAGGAAAGAGTAAGAAAGAGAATAGGAAGAGGAAAAGGGAAGAAAGGAAAGGGATGGAGAAGAGGGAAGAAAAGATGAATTGGGAAAGGGAAAGAGAAAGGGGAAGGGAAGGAGAAAGGAAAAAATAGGAGGAAGGATGAGAGAGAGGAGAGGAAAAGGGAAGAGAAAAGGGGAAGAAGAAAGCGAAGGGGAAGAGAAAAGGGAAGAGAAAGCGAAGGGGAAGAGAAAAGGGAAGAAGAAAGGAGATGAAGGAAAAGCGAAGGGGAAAAGGAAGAAAAGGAATAGAAAGATGGAAAGGAAAGGGGGAAGTGAAGTGAAAGAGAGGAAGAGTGAAGGAGAGACGAGAAAAGTAGGGGAAAGAGGAAGAGGAAAAGAAAAGGAGAAGGAAGGAAGGAAGGGGAGGGGAAAGAAAAGCACAAAAAGAGAGGAAAAAAGGAGAAGAGAGAAGAAAGAATGAAAAAAGAGAAGGGAGGTTAAAGAAAGATGTGGAAAAGGAAAGAAAAGAGGAGAGGCATTGGAAAGAGGAAAAAAATATTTAAAAGAAACAGAGAAGAAATGGGAATAAAAAGAGATTAAGAGGAAGAAAGAGAGAGACCAAAGAAATACGAAGAAGGAAAATAATCGACAGAGGAGAAAGGAACCATCACAAAAGAAAATTAATATGGAATGATTGATTTAATATTCGAAAGGAAAAAAATCGATTTCGAATAATTAAACAAGAGAAAATTAATATCAAATGAAAATAATTACTCGCACATCCCTTGGGTAATTCTACAGGCAAATGATAACATAAGAGAAAAAGAAATACATGGATGCCGAAAAATGCAAATGATGGAATAAGAAAAAAAAGAAAAACGAGTGAAGAGAGAAGAGAGAGAGAGAGAGAGAGAGAGAGAGAGAGAGAGAGAGAGAGAGAGAGAGAGAGAGAGAGAGAGAGAGAGAGAGAGAG